TAGCTTTGCGCGCGGAGGTCGTTAGTCTTTTACTTCTCAGACACTGCAAGTAGGGGAGCACTTGCTAGCGGTCAAAAGTTCCAGCCTGCGCTGTGCTATTGCAAGCTCTGTGAAGCAAGGCATGGGTACGGGGTTTCTTGAAGCACTCCGCAGACCAGCTTGTTGAGCTTGCACACGTTCCGTAGTTTTTCTGGTTCTCAGGCTTGCCTTCTGATCATGGTCAAGATACGCTCCAGGAAGTTTGGAGCCGCGGAGAAGCTAAAACATTCGGCCAAGAGAGATCGGGGGGCGGCTCGGGGAGTCAACAAGCAGCACCACAAACTCAAGCTCGCTTGCTCGTCCACGCCCCCGCAGAAGACGGTACAGTTGCGGGACTTTCAGCAAGAGTGGTTTTTCAGCGACATCGTCGGCCTCACAGATAAGCAGGCTGAGATGATGCTGCGGCGTTTCGGGGTGCTGCCCAAGAAAGGAGGCGTTGTTCTCTGCTGGCAGTGCGGGGAGCAAATGTCGCAGGCGAGTTCCAGCACAGGGGCCGACTCTGGTGATGTCAAGCAGTGCTGCAACTGCAAAGTCCCAGGACGCCTTGCAGGGTTTGTCTACTCTCCATGTCTTTACCCACACCCCTTAAGCCCTAAACCCCACACAGCATGCGAAGGACGGCACTACTTGCAGCTGCGGCATTCACATGTTGCCTGGACCCCGTTTTGGCACGGCTGCACGAGAGGCTACGCCCCGAAGTATGCTGCCTTCCTTCGCTTGTGTTATTGCTTGGGCGTCCGCACACCACCGGATGCTCTTCCCCACTACGTTAACGACAAGAAGGCGCAGGCTGGACCCAGGACTTTGCGCTGGTGGGTAGAGGCTCTCCGTTGTGAACCAGTTTCGGGTCTAGTCTTTGGACTTTTGGGTTTACATTTACGTAAACTTGTACTGGCCAGTATTTTCCAGGCCGTGCGTTATGCTTTGAGATACGTTGCGATGAAAGAGCAGACGGACGTTTTGCTGAAGGACGAGTTTGTGGAGGAGTCGGCAAGATCCCAAGCAAGCCCATGTAACCCACAACCCTAAACCCTGCACCCGAAACCCTAAACCCTAAACATTTCCCGCTGCCCCCAGGCAGATGGCGCTTCCCACCTGGTTGTACGGCAGGGGTTCACTGCCCGTCACGCCAAGAAGCGTCAGCGGACCAAGGAGGAGAAGTACCAGAAGAAGAGTGCCAAGGACACGCCCAAGCAAGCTCAGCATGGAAGAGTGCTGGTCATGTCTGGACGGTTTTCCAAGAAGACTGTGGTCAGGCCTCTTCGGCACACCGTTCAGAAGCGCGGCGCGCCAGGAGGCGTTTTTTTCCTCTTCCGCCCTTGACTAGCCTTAGGGTTCAAACTCTAGGGTCTCGGGTACACGGTTTATGGCTAAGCCTTCACGTTTCTACTTTTAGGCTGGACTTGGCTCAGGCGGAGAAGCCTTCCGTGAAATCATGCCTCTTATGACGCGGCACATAGAGTCAGACAGCGTGGTGGCTGCTTCGGATAG